GCCTTGCCTTAACCGACTGCCAGAAAATCAAAATAAACACAATTTTCAACGTACCATGCTAGTATCCATTTAAAATTCAATACGCACGGTACAACTCCGTTTTCACTTAACTACTCACACTTTACCACTGCTTATTGGAGCGAATTCGACATGTTACTGAAAGAACGAATCCTACTGAAGAATATTGTGCGCGTCACCATGACCCGTAGGTCTGTTAGGGAATCTAAGGGCCGTGTTATAGTTTAACAGACGCAAAAAAGTTAGAACTCGGTTCAGGACACGAAGTAATCTCAACAGGGTCAGGCCGACGGCACAGACTGAAATAACGCAATACTAATAATACCCAAGGTGACAGGTATATACGTCAAGTCAAGCATTTGTCTGCAACACCTACTAAATAAAAAAATCAAAAGAATCGCATTTTTCCTCATAACAAGAAAGTAAATGTAACATGTGATACTTCGTTGAATTCGAATAAGAAAATATTGAGATTTCCGTGTATAGGCATCCTTATCTTGTTCAAACTCATATATTGACGTGTCTTGTTTTCAAAACGAAACAAAAACTTGGTTAGTCATATGTATCATCTTATAAAATATGGCTTTTGAAAAAATCCAATTTGTGCTAAATAATTACAAGGAATCAAAATCATTTTATACATAAAAGCAACCGCGCAGGCAGAAGCCTAAATGCCGGGGCACCGCGGCTGCTATGAGGAGCTTAAAGAAACTTTGTTCGATTTTTTAATTGCCTAAGATTAGTACTGTGATAATATAGATTGTTCCACAATCTCGATACCCTAGTGACAAAGGAGCCGTCGTATCGGCCAGTTCTTGATGTATGAAGTTCGCCTCATTTAACCAACAAATGTGCTCAAAATGTCTGATTTTTTTATGTTCCTTGTTTTACTATGGCAGAAATCCTTATATCGTATTTTTCATACTCGAGATATATGAATTAGCCTAATATACTAGATCTACTTCTAACCGAAACAGCAAAAATGACGGAGCTGTTAAAAAAGTGGTGTGAAACGCTATACAGGGTGTCCGCAAAGTTGAGGTTTTCCTTCACACGACGAGTAGATATTGAGAAAATAAGAGGATTTACTTAGTAGCATATACACCAATGTCTTAAGAGAACGGAGATATTGGGCTCCGCAAACTTACGGTTTGTTCGTACAGTAGTCGGTAACCTGTCGGTGACAGTCAAAATCAGAATCAGAGAGATGATCTACATGAGGAGATTTTCCCAGTTCTACATACTAACTTTAGGCAGTTCAAAAATGGGAATAACAAAGTTCCTTTAATCTCCTGAAAGCAGCCGCGGTGCCTTGGGTTCACCTGCGCGGCTGCTTCGGTGTAAAAAACATGAAACCCGAAATCCTTAATTTTGTAGAGAAAACAGTACCACAATTCAACAGAAACAAGTTTTTGTAACATTTTCAGGTGAGCAAGTGGCAGAAGAAATTTTAATGAAATTCCATTTTAAATATCAGCCAGCGCCAAAGTGCTTTGTGCTCAATATTTTGTTTATTGGCCCGGTAATTGCAAAATGAAGATTATGAATACAGTATGAAAAATCCGAACAATAGAGGACATAACTTTCTGCATATACAGGGTGTTTCTAATTTGGCACTCACCATTGGGATCTTGGAAACTGTAAGCGATACGAAGTCGCTTAAATGGGGGTAGGCAATAAAGTGACACTTAGAAGGTTTCAAAATTCAACGTACTTCCGTAGAGTAACGGAAAAACTGAATTTTCCCAAAATTGTTCTGATTTTTGCCTGACTTTCTTTCTATTGGGATTTTGAAATAAATTACACATGCACGTTTCCCCCTCTACAAGAAGGCATAATCAGAATTTCTATCTGACGGTTCGCCTCTTCTCCTCCAGCATCAACTATATTATTTCTTAAGGACGCTATATTGCATTTTTGCACAGATGAATAGAGTTTTTAAGTTTGATTCAAAAAATGCATAATACGTCATACATTGATGTTGTCAAATCTTGATTATTTTAAGAAAATCAGAATTTCTTAGGTAGGCCTTGAAATTATCAAATGTTTGTCTCGCTCACCAGATTTATCCCAAAACCGCTCTATTTTTTCCCGACTCTATTCGAGATGGGATTTTAAAATAAATTGCATATTGTCATTGTTACTTATTCTCGTCTGCAAGATCGCGTAGTCAAATTTTCAATTCGACATTTCTTCTTTCGACTTCCATCATCAAATTTGTTTTTCCATACGGACACTATCTTGGAATTTTGTACATTTAAATGGACTTTTTAAGTGATTGTTAGTTGACCACAAATTTATTGTTGGATGAAAATTAAAAGGAAATACAAAGATATGGTGAAACCTGAATACGAAATGAAAATTTTCTTGATGGTAATAACAATAATAACCCTGAATAAGCAGAGGTATTCACAGTCTTCCAAACTCTGTTGCTATGCAAACAAAGAAAATCTAATAATTTCGAGGCCTACCTAGGAACTTCTGGAATAACTAAGGTTTTGCAATGTCAATGTAACACATACATTTTTTAAATCAGAATAAAAATTCTATTCATGTGTGTAAGAATCCAATATGGCGTCTATAAGAAAAAATTAAGTTGATGCTGGAGGACAAGAGACGAAACGTCATATTGAAATTCAAATTGTGCCCTCTTGTAGAGGAGAAAATGTGTCAGAGTTTATGTGCAATTTATTTTGAAATCCCACCACAAATAAAGTCAGGACAAAATTAAAACCATTTTGGGAAATTCGTTTTTTACGTCTCTTTCCGGAAGTACTTTCAATTTCAAGACTTTCTAAGCGACATTTTGCTGATTATCTGAATACGCAACTTTGTCCCTATTTAAGTGTCTTCGTATCCCTTGAAGTTTCCGAGATCAAAATGGTGAGGGTCCCTGTATAGGGAAAATAGTATTTTCAACCCAGCACAAACAGTCATTCCCTCTCCATGGGCACGCGTGAGAAAAAGCTGTATCACAAAATCTCCAGAATTCGTTATTTTGTTTATTTTTTCGTCAGCTTTGGGTTGGACTTACATAGCTAGAATATATAAATACTGCTTGTGCATACACTTCGAGGCTGGGCGACAAGGGAACAGGGAACAAAAACCCTACTATCCGAGTTTTATTAAAAGTCATTCACAATACTTTGTACAATTCTCATGCATAATCACTGCAGACCTTTAATCAGAATTCTTACTATGTAATTACTTCTTCAACTTGTCATTCGATGTGTGGATTCATATGTCTTCAAATTTATGTTTATACTTTATATATGAGAATTGAATGGTAATTACTGAGTAAATCTACTTGTCATTTTTGGATGCTGTTATTTTTTCTAGAAAGTGTCCATATTTTCCTCTCTAAAGGAAATTCGGGCCCATTTGGACAGTTGGACGAAACATTCTAGACCATTCTGGTTTACAACAAATAAACCACCAACTTTTTCAAAATTGTCTACTTCATTCTGAAAAATTTTACATTCGAATAATTATTGTACTTGATTTCGAGCTCTGACAATTTACTGGAAAATTATCTACTGACTGATTTGTCAGTCATCAAACAGTCAGAAGTTTCTGTACGAACAGCGGATTAGTTGCCGGTAATCGGTCTGACCTCCCTCAGCCAACTCGTAACGTTCTCATGTACGCAATTAATACAGTCAGCGACATGTCAGTGAACGTTAACTGGATAAACTAGGTCATGACTGGTCGCCGACTATCAGTTTGCTGATTGTCAGCAAACAGGCTGTACGGACAAACCATTTATCAAACCTGAACCAAACCGAAGCCGGTCCTGCCCTATCCCTCGATCACGTTGACAGCGTCAGCGCGAGCGTTCAGTTATACGACGTACGCCTATGATGTAAATACGGATTTTACGACAGAGCCATACTTGGAATTTGAATTCAACTGAACAGTGAGTGCTTTTTCGTTTATTTTTTTTTCGCTCACGTTTCACCACACATTAGCTTTGTTAGATCAAGCGTAGTTGTGTCTGAAAAGGAAAACCTCAACTTTGCGGACACCCTGTATAGATAAGTGGTATAAATAACGTTCATGGAGTATTTCAAGTGATTACTACAGTTATCGTCGCAATACAAGTTGGTTTGCTGTCAGGTTTTCATGTAAAACAATGAAAAGCCGTTCAGCAGCTCTTATGCTGTACCACTTATCCATACAGGATATAGGGTATCCTGAAACTTGGTATTCTCCTTTTCAGAAACAACTACGTTCGAAATAATCTAATGTGCCGTAAAACAGCAAAGTAGGGAATCTTAAGTACTGTCCTGATATATGTTTTGTTTGAAAATAGTGTTTGAAGTTGTCACTGTTCGATTCAGAAACACGAGTTGGTTTTTTCTTCCTAAATTTGCAACATTTGGGCTGTCTAGATTTTATAATGTATCCACCCAGACGGCTTTTCCATGACAGAAACAAGCCTGTGCAGCTCTGATGGAAAAATTGAGGACGAGTTGTGAATACACTCGCGGGGTATCAACAGGATCTTGAAGACGCCCACAGTAAACTAACCTCAAATGGATAACTACGTTATTGTTCTAGGAATGTGCCAATTTCGGTTTTTCAAATGCGACTTGTTTATAAATAATATATATATATATATATATAATATAATACACATTGTACCACAAAACATCATACCTCTTCACGGAGGAGTAGGATGAGGAGGAGGGAAGGGAGGCAGGGTAGGACTGGCCCATTTGGTTTAGAGTTTTAGGAACTCCATATCTCGTTCATCTTTGGTATAAGCGTGGCCCAAATTTTCTTGCTTTACATGAGGAACAGACTAATAGACAGCTGGTTATCGACAAACAAGCTTTAGTAATGGTTTGGGGTCAATAACTGGTCAACAAATGACTTTCCTCAATTTGTATGACTGTTTCGGCATTATCAGGCAATCCTAAAAATTAACTTTTAAGGAAGTAAAACCGCGATAACATTATGATAATACTATATTAATAACTGTTGACAGAAAACGATGCGAGGCAGTACCAAAAATAAATAGCATAATATATAATATATCACTGTCCTTATTCTTAGAATATTTCTTAATATCCTATAATTAAATATTTTACAGATACTTACGAATAAAAATAGCTTCTTATTTAACTGTTATCTTTGATTCCTTATAATTTATATTCTTATTCTATAATACAATACTCATTTAGTATACCATATGATAACGATTATAGGTCGCTATAAACGAAGCCCCTAAGATGCCTTCTTGTTGTTAGGCACATTTATATTATAACAACAAAATAAGGAGGCTTATGGTTAACTATAACAAAATATACAAAGTATGGAGGAAACTAATTCCACACGCGGAAGAACCTTACATGCTAGAACTTTCTTAAAGGCGTCCGGTGTGTTTTCTTCAGTTCCAGACTGTAGCTGCCACATGGAAGCGAGAAAAGAACTAGGACGAGTTTGGCCGCGAGTTCGGTACTATTCAAAATATCCATACTTTGGATAAATTAAGTTTACTTTTTTGAAATTTTCTTTCTCAGAATCTCCTGAATCTCCAGAAAGCTTTTATCATCCGTCTTTGGCACAAAGTACCAAATAAAGATCAACCCCGCTGCGCAAATGACAGAAAACATAAAAAAAGGCCAGTACATTCCTAGGTAATGAGTAACTAACGGAAATAGAGAGGTTACTGCGAAACCCAACAGAGCTGATTGTACAAAGACCAAACTATTACCAGCTGTTTTGACATCGTCCGCAAATAGTTCGCCTGTTAATGCTGTTGCACCAATGCCGAGTCCGACTCCATAGAATCCTATGTATAGTAAAACACTCACAGCTGGTATCAATGCAAATGATTCTATCCCGTCAAGTTCTATGCTTCTCAGGTAAAAATATGCGCCTACGGTTAAGTGACTCAAGGAGCAGCCTGTTGCTGATACCAACATTAACTTCTTTTTACCAAATTTGCCCACTATGACAAATGCTACCACAGTCATAGAAAATTTTACTAGACCTAGTGCAACAGATACAAGATTCCCAGGAACACCTATGGAGTTAAAGATGGAGCCACTAAAGGCCATTATAGCAGTAGTACCGGAAAATAAGTTCAAGGACATAGCTCCTATACAAATTATACATGCCCTCCTATTTACAGGATCAGATACTAAACGCCGCCAACTTGATTTGTCGTGTCCTTCGACATTATTAACTGTGTCTTTGATTTTCTGAATGTCTTTACTAACTTCATGTCTCTGTCTAAGTTTTCTTAGTACTTCAATTGCTTGTGATTCGTCGTGCTTAACTAAATAATATGGAGATTCGGGTACAAAAAATAGCATTCCAGTAATACTGACAATCAAAGGAGCGGCACAAACTAAAGTATAGTTTCTCACATTAAAAAATAAACCTAAAATATACCCATATAGTATACCTAATACATGAGACACGATAAGCAGACATGAAAGTTTAGCTCTGTTATGATCTTCAGCTATTTCGTTACCGTAAATGTTATTAACTACGAAACTATAGTACAGTAACCCCCCTAATACTGTCCTGGCTATATAATACACATAGATGCTTCTAGCGGTTGCTAGTACCACGAACATGACAAGAGTAAGCATTGCCATCAAAAGCATAATTTTTCTTCGGCCATAGATGTCGCATAGTTTTCCAAAAGCAAGTGGGAAAATAACTCCTCCCAGGTATGGTAATCCACTAATGAGGGATGTTTGAGATGCTGTGATCGGCTGTCCCAGAGGATTTATGTTGGTATCGTTTGATAGTAAGTACGGCAGGACGGGAGAGGACCACACTAGTGACGTACTTGATGATAACAAGGCCAGATTGACTAGAATAAAAGGTAATACAGTCAATAAGAATATTTGTTGCAGCGAAATGACATGTTATATGGAAGCTAAAAGCCGCGCACGTTAAAAACGCAGAGAGCAGGGCTTTTTTGATATTATACTTCCAATTTATTGCAAAGTGTTGATAACGCGCCACTAAGATAGTTACAATGGACACGATATTTGTATACCGAATAAGTTAATGCTGTGGGTCATCATGGACACTGCATTAAGTTACCTATTCTAACATGGTAAACTTGACGCAACCATATACAGGGTGACTTTGAAGTTGAGTCATTAATTTTCAGATAATGATTGTAGAAGGAAGATAAACCAAAATATGTGTGTAAAAATAAAAAAAAAATAAAAAAAAATGTTACCTTGTTTAATAAAGTATCCTCCCGACAAGTATTTCAGTGCGGACCTGTATTTGATCGTGCGGTCTTGGAGCAGCATGCCCTCACCTGTGAGGTCTTAAGTCACCTGATTCACGAGCCCTTTGCACTACATTAACAACTCGATTGGGAAACCGATTCGCATAAATCCGTGATGCATCCGGGAGCATTTTGTAAAGACTGCCCCCCCGTAAATAAGAATCATGTCCACAAGTTCAGCATTTTCGTAAACATGTGCCATTTTTGATTTCGTTTGAGCCACGCAACACACTACTATTCACTCAGGATTTATCGACTGACGAAAAACATCGTGATAAACGTTTCAAATTCTTTCGCTTTTTTGTTTCCGATGCGATGAACCGGTCAGGCGGATTATATCCGTTGTCGCCAAACACGAGCATATAATAGGCAGGGCGGTACTCAAACTTCCAAAGGGCTATAACTTTGTTACTTTAATTTTACCAGAAAAATGGTAAAGGAAAAAACATTTCTTTTGATCAGATCTACTCACTGTTAAAATAAATGACTCAACTTCGAAGTCACCCTGTATAGTCTAATCATATTAGACGAAAAAGCGAAATAACTGTAAAGTCTGGTTTTATTGATGCAAGTTGTTCAAGGGGGTATTTTGAAAATGGACGCATAAAATGGGTACACCAATTTTTGTGGGAAAACTTTTTATTCGACAACAAAGAATGAGAAAACTTGTTTTTTTGGAATTCAATCGAAAGTGTTGGAAAGAACGAAAAAACGCTCTAAATAAGATTTTTAGGTATTTATAAGACTTACAAAATGAAACTACACGTAAAAAGATCCGTCTAATAGTAAAGAAGTTATGGACGAAAAACGAGGCAAAATGGAGGCTTTGGCACTAGCTTCTAATGCAACGATAATTTCACGCAGCTACTTGAAATTCTTCATATCCGTAGGCTCCATACTTCTAAGTAAACACAACAAAATTGGAGGCACGCGGCTTCTAACGTCCAAAGTTACATCATCTAGCAGCTCATGCAAACTGCTTTGTAAAAAAGCAAGGTATGCCCGATCATTCAACCTGGCGGGCAATTAATATGGTCCAACTTATTTTTTGTTGAGTACTCCAGCCCATAAATTAACGCAGAACTGACGTTGAAAGCTGTGTCGGCGAACAGCATGTGGATTTTCCACGCTCCATGAATGGAAATTGTGCATGTTGAATATTCTATTTCGGTTAAAGTTGGAGTCATCTGTCCATAAGATTCTGCCGAAAGAAGTTCCAGTTTGGAAGCAATTCTTGTACTTTTTGTACATGGTAAGGATGCATGTTCTCCGAGCGTAGTATTGTGTGACTGAAGTATGGGATATGTTTCTGCTGCGGACAATGGCTCTGGTGCTTATAGCTGCTTCTATTATAACTTTCTTCTGGGCATATCCTCGGCGCTCCTAGCTGACGAAGAGTGCCTAGTATGTGGCCCTCCATATACGCATTTTGGACGCGTAGAAAAAAGCGGTAGTCAGGATATATCGCCGGTTGTGGTCCACCTTATGCGAGAAGCTGCTCGAGCATTTCTGCATAATCTAGCGGAGAATATGACATGATTCTACTCAGATACCAAGCGTTAGAGACAAATTCCGCGCTGGACCATTGCTTGACTTAGTAATTCCGGTCGGACCGAAGATTGAACCCTCCCGCACCTGGAATGCCGAGTTGAATGCCCAAGCTCATTAAGTTAATGCGAGACATTGGTTCATTCAAGAAAAAAATCTCAGTATGGGTGAAAGGTATATCCATGAGCATGATACATGATTATATAGATGGCAAAACACTATACATGTCACTTTCCACAATCCAAGTGAAGTGACCGTTCTGTGAACAATTATAATGTTGCTCCACTTTATTATCTTTTATTATATTTTATTACATTTTTTTATATTTCATTATATTTTATTGTATTTTATTATATTTTATTATAGTTTATTATAGTTTATTATATTTTATTATATTTTATTATATTTATTATCTTATATTTTATTTATACCGTATCTCATGTGTGATAGAAACTTCAATTTTAAATAAATTTGAAAATCGCAAGTCACACGTCGTGACCAAAAATGAAACATCATACACGGGACCGCATTTTAAGAGGGTCTTCTATGTAACATTTAATCCTCGCGGCGGAGATACAGGGGATTAGTGGCATTATTTTTCCAAATTTGAAATGCATTATCTATTCTTTCTTGTAACTGATCAACAGTATTAACTTGTTCAGCATACACTAGTTGTTTAAAAGCGCCCTACAAAAAGAAATCCTGGGGGGTTAATCAGAAGACCTCGCAGGCCAATGTACGGGTCTGTTTCTGCCAATCCATCGTTGTCTAAAATGATTATTTAACAATGCGGTTATGTCAAAAAATGCGGTCATGTGTATGATGTTTCATGTTTGGTCATGACTTGTGAAGCACCCTGTCCAACTTGTAAACTGTCGCAATTATTACTTTTTTGGTTTAATTTAATTAAACAATTTTCCCAGTATAGTAAGTATATAGTCAGTGGATTTTCACTCAACCCCAAAATGAGACTGTTAGTTGATTGGCAGTTGCTTTGGTGGGAATGCAAAACCAACAACAAAGAAAAGCAAGTCGAATCTAAAGAGGGTTGAGGTCGGGTTGCCGCCGAGTTGGTTTCGGTCTGAACAGTGATTTAAGCCTGGTTTACACGAGTAGAGTAGGTAGTAGAGTTCGGTGGTAGAGTACGTACTATTCCGCTACTAAAGATAGTTCAGGGAAGAGTAGAGTGGATAGTAGGTGTGGAAGAGTACACTTGACTCTCCTACCATCTCTTAGACAACTTTACTCTACTCTATCGGTTCGTTTGTTTACTGTACCAATGTAAACAGACACGATAAGGACCGTGGATAGGGGGGACCATTCAGCATCATACTTGCCAAAGCTTGGCAGAAATCAAAATAATTGTGTATTGGTTTAAAATAAAAGGTTGTAACAAAATAAAATTAAAATTATTGTATCATTTATTTATTTAAACTTACCTTAAGGTATTAATTTAAGGCCGCTTTGATTGCTTGACATGTTTCAGGAACAAAATTGCTTATTCCTGGTTTTTAGACTCGAAAGAGACGTTGTAGGCTACGGTAACTATTGCCTGTTACAACAAAATTTAAAGTAACTTGTAATTTAACACGTCCTGGTATTGCATCCAAAATTCAGCAATGTTTCGAAACCCGCAGGTGCCACTCTCAAGCACGCCTTATATCCTTGTGGGTCTTCTAAAGCCAATTCTTTTAGGATATTAGCAGATGCTCCCAATTCATTTCGTCTCAAAATCCAATCCCTTACAACATTATGTTTTGCCTACTGGTTTCTTCTTCTAAAATTTCCTCAACTTCACTTAATAACACACTTGCAGCTTGCACTAAGCGTTTTTTAACAACGGCTCGGTATTTTTGCCTAACCTGCTTGCTCATTTTGACGTACTATCCTGAATATTCTTTAAAATTACTAGCAAACATGAATACAGTTACTCCACCAAAATGAGTAGAGTATTCGGGGGAAAAAGTAGGCTAGTGAACTCTACTACTTACTCTGCACGGCTTTAGAGACCATTGATGTACGCAATTTGTATCGCGCGACAATGTTATATGACAAGCTCGCTCGTCGACACACGGTTGAATGATGCAACAGTTGAATATTTTACTTTGGTATCATTACAAATCCCGATGTCGCGATATTCAAGCTTTTTCGGAACCAGAAAGCTCAGCTCGCCGCTCAGAAAACACGCCACTCAATATAGCATACTCAAGATACTCCACTTAAATGTATGTAGTATAATGAACAAATACGATGAACTAGAGCATTTCGCAACCTCTGAATCGGTTGACATATTATGTCTATCTGACACATGGCTTAACCCTGATGCTCTGAGTACTGCTCAGATTCCAGGTTATATATTTATTAGCATCGCACTTCTGTAGAACTCGGTTTATCCATGGAAGATTAAACAGCTCTCTTATCTTGAGGAAAGTTCTGGGGAAAGACACATAGAAAGCGGGATTATTGCTGGTACTGAGAACAACAAGGTGAAATATTCAATTATTTGCATTTACTGCCTTCCATCTGCAGGTATCAATATATTCCTTGAAAGTCTAATAGTAATCTTGCATGCTGTAGCAGATACTAGTGAAAAAATTATTCCATGTGGCGATCTAAACATCGATAGTGCAAAATCAACTCCTTCTATGTTTTTGCAAGTTATCTTGAGCTCATTCAACCTGCTCAACTGTAGTACTGGACCTACATGAATTTCTGTGAACACGATCAATCAAATCTCGAGCACGTACATATATTACATGATAACCAATATAAACCCATATCTTGTACTGCACAACCCATGATCCACACATATCCGACACCACATGACACAATTACTGGCTATAATTTAATCCCCCAGCAAACAGGGCATATATAACATATTAAACTGTAAAATTAGTATATGATAGCAATCTTCAGCATTTCAAACCAAGGCTATCTACAGAATCATGGAATGTTGACGAGAGCAAAATAACATCTATCTTCCGGAATGGTTTGCGATTCATATCGACAAGGTAAACTAGTGTATTTTGCTATAGAATTCCTTTTGAACTAACCTTATATATTGCTCAACAAACTAGTAGTTATGGCCGCAAAACAGGTGTTTTGGGATAAACAATTAGAAATCCTCAAAAACTACTTGACCAATCCACTCCAACTTTGTTGTGATTATTAAGAAGTACGAATCCTACGAATTTGAAGAATTTCAAATATCTGCGAAAAACCGTCGTAGCATTACCAACAAGTGCCAAAACCTGCAGTTTACCTCGGTTTTCGGCCATAACTTTTCTGCTATTAGTCGGATCTTCTTACGTGTGGTCTCATTTTGTAGGTCTCTTTAAATACTTAAAAATCTTATATGAAGAGTTCTTTCGTACCTGCCAACACTTTCAATTGAATCCCAAAAAACACGTTTTCTCATTCTTTGTTGTCGAATTAGAAGTTTTCTCACAAAAATTGGTGTACCCATTTCATGCGTCCATGTTTTGAATACCCCCTTGAACAACTTGCAGCAATAAAACCAGACTTTACAATTATTTTGCAAACCAGCGGTATTTTCATCTAATATGATTAGACTACTTATCTTTTTTTGTCTGAGAGCCACTTACAAGTTGAGGTGAACGGTACAATTTCGAAACAGTACAACATAAATATTGCAGCTGCTCAAGGATCAGTAGAGGCAATTTTGTTATTCATTTTATCTATTAATAACCTGAGCCTATCTGGCAGTTGTAGTACGAGGTACTACATTTGAGGAACTTGTTCGTAACATCACCCTAGTGGAAAGTGAAACGCAGCTTTAGTGCCAACAGAATCGCTTGATTTTAAATACCGACAAGACTGTTATCATCCATTTTAATTCTTATAGGTCACAGCTTCACGACATCGACAATGACTCGTGTTTTTTTTTGGGGATAATTATGGATTCCAAGCTACTTGGCAACTGCATATTGACTCAATATGTAAAGCTCTTAAAAAGTCATATTTTGCCATCTTAAAATTGAAGCACTGTGTAACACGGGCAGTATTGCTTAATGTTTACTATGTGATGGTATACTCTAATCTGTCAAGAGCCATAATAGTTTGGGGACAAGCCCGTATTGAGAACAAGGCATTCATAATTCAAAAAAGGATAGTGATATTAATTTTTAACATACCTAGGCGTGAATCTTGTAGGTCTACATTCAAGAGTATTGATCTACTAATACTTCCGGCAGTCTACATATTTAATTGCGCTTTATTTACATTTCACAACAAATTCAGGTCTGTTAAAAATAAATATGTAAATGTTCGTTACAACACAAGAGCTGGCATGGATTTGAGCATACCATCACAAGCATTTAGAATGTTTGAAAAGTCACATGAGTATGCCTGTATAAAAATCTGTAATAAGCTTCCCTCCGAGCTTAAAAGACTTCAGAGCGTCATAGTCAGTGGCGGATTTGCCAATAGGCCCTGTAGGCCCGGGCCTAGGGCGGCCAGATATTAGGGGCGGCCAATCGTAACAAAAAATTCTCTGATGATATCAAGAAGTAAGTGAGTACCTAAATATTCTAAACACTCGCGCACATTATGGCAGGCCGCATAATAATCTTACTAAATGACACACAACAGAAGAGGGCCATTATATGCGAAGCAACAGGTATTCGTCGAAAACTGGAACGTTTTGAAACGGCCATCATGACTGTGTTTTGGGGATGTTTACTGTGTCGTATTAGCGCCACAAGTAAAAAACTTCAGAGTATGGAAATTGACATTACCATTGTCGTAGAACTGTATGAGGTACTGATACATTTTATTGGCGAAATACGGGATAACTTCGATGATTTCGAGAACAACGCCAGAAAATATTTGTACAGGAATATGAAAGAGATGTTGGACTCAATCGCAAGCGTAAGCTACTTCCTAGCGACACTATTACAGTTGAAGAGATGCAACAAAAGGACGGTCGCGAAAATTTCAGAATCACCACTTTTTTGGTAATAATTGATACATTGTCAGAAGAGCTCAAAAACGACGTGATGCTTATAAACTACTTTACAATACATTTAATTTTATTACTAACTTGACGAAACTAAGTCGAAGAAAAGGCCAAAGCATTGCAAATGGTTTATTCTACTGACTTGGAAGACAACTTTTCAGAAGAATGTCTCCATTTTCATGCTCACTGCAGTGTAAAAAAAGAGGATCGAAAAACTGCTATCAGTTTTTTGAAAGGTTTACGAACCGAAGGTCTTCAAACCATTTACCCAAACGTGGATATTGCTCTTCATAATGTGTGTGTACTCCCGCCAGTAACTCTTACCGAGAATGATCGATTGTTGTTTGCATCGAGTTAAAAATTATTTACGCACCACAATAACGGAGCAACGGCTGAACCATCTTGCCTTGCTGAACACAAAAGCAGATTTTTTAAGAAGGTTGTACTTAATGATTTTGCAGCGCCTAAGTATAGACGAGTTTTGTAACATTGTAAAACACTTATTTTTATTGTATGAGAATGAACTTGTAGTTAAACTAGTTGAATAAATAAACCCAAAAGCCCTGTTAACTGTTTTATTTAAATGTGTAATTATTCTTGAAACCTTGGAAGGTATTACAAATTAGCAGCTATCATACTTAATTAAATTTCTAAATCAATATCGATCAAATTGTTTAGATTATATAATGAATACTGAAAAATGGTCGGTTACTTACGAGGAGGTATCTTGTGGAGCTGTGTAATAAGCATCTACTGTATTACGTTTTAGATATTTATGTAATTATTGACATGCATAAACAAACTTTGTGTAAAATGCCAATAAACAACAATAATAACAACTATCTTGTCGATCTGTGACGTTGTAGAGCCTACGGCACATTACATCTTAGGCCATAAACGTCCGCTTTCGTCCTAATTATCTACATATTACACAGCTAGGCGTAAACATAACAAAGCTTTGAAACATACCTATGCTTACAGTTAAGTATATAGTTGGTGAGCAATTCTGAGTTTTATCACTTTCCATAATAACTCCATCTCTGGTTTTGATGGTAGGTTTATAGACTACTTCCAAGCGATTCGTGTTACTTTCCATAGTTAATACACTATCACTTGTACGATAAAACTGGGTGGACGATTTTCAAGAGAGAATGTAAATAGCTTCATTTTAGCACTACGCAGGTTTCTTATTTATACAGGAATTACTCGAAACAATGGTTTGAGCCAGGGAATATTTTGGTAAAAAGCTAAAATTTGATGTATCTAGATTTTCGTAAAAGTACTCGACGATAACATTTTTTTGCAAAAGATTATGATAAAGATTTATAATATGATTCATTGTGCACCTCAGTAGGGAGTGGCAGTAGAGATTCACGACTTCATTTTCACGCTACTTAACTTGTGAAGCTTAAGTCAAGCATTCGACATTAGCAATCTGATATCAAGTCAAGTAGTTTTTGCGTCTGTCTGTCAAGTACTTGAGAACTCAAGTAGCCTTGGTAGCACTTGATAATTTGTGTAATATAGATACACGTATTTTATAACTACACAACGGAAAGGTCTTTTTGGTCACAAGATTCAGAGAACATAATACATATTGCACAAAATAATTTCTTCATCATAAAACAAATAATACCCACAACGATATAACTGTAAGCTCAAGTAGAAAAATCGCATTTCTTCATCAGCTGATACAAAAGAATTTAAAAAATCTGAATAAGCATTTCATTCGTTAGTCACGAGTTAAGACAGATGAGGGTTCTAACGGATTTATAATGGTGGTGGTAAAATTTAAAATGATATAAGTGACAACTGACCGGATTTTGGACCACACTCCTATATCATGATAATTATTCTTAAGTTGTGCCTGTTTTACAACATGTTTAATAGCTGAAGATGTATTGACATTATATTTATTTCTTGTAAAAGCATATAAAAATATCATTGAGTTGTTTTTTAAAAATATGATTTTAATTTGTTTTTATATTTATAGACAACCTGTGTAACCGTGTTGTGTGCGCTATACGAAAATATGTTTTTCATTGATGGGCTTTCTTCCTTCAGCATTAACTTTATTTTTTCTAATAGACGCCATACTGGATTTTTGCATTGATGGATAGAGTTTTCAATTCTCATTCCAAAAATATATAATACATGGACATTTCCAAATTTTAGTTACGAAAAAAAAAATAGAATTTCCTAGGTCGACCTTGAAATTATCAGTCATTTGTTTCGTACAGCGGATTTATTGAAAAACCGTATTTTATTTCCTAGTTTTATCAAATCCTGATTATGTCATCTTGTAGAGGAGAACATTTATTTTGAAATCCCACTACAAAATAAAGTCAATACGAAATTAAAACGATTTTGGAAAAATTCGGTATTTTCCGTCTCTATCCGGAAGTAATTAGAATATTGAAACTTTCTGAGCGACATTCTTTAGTTACCTGAATAAGCAACTTAACCTTCATTTAAGCGACTTCGTATCTCTTAACGTTTCCGATATCTCAATGGTGAGGGTCGAATTTGAGTCACCAGGTATATGCATAGAATACCATTACTGTTTTTTTTTATTATTATTATTATGATAATTGAGATGAGCAGAGTACACAGTACTATAATCTCATGCAGTAAATATAGTGTACGGACACGTAACACAAATACATCAAATAGAAAAAAATAAAAAAGACAGTTCATAGCTATAAAGTTTGTACACTCCTCCAGCTATCATACTGCACTTTGAAGCTATTAACTGAAGTAGCACCAACCACACTTTCAGGTAAACTATTCCAGGTGTTGAATATGCGGTTGGGAAGAAACCACTGTCGGACTATGGGTTTTAAATGGCTCCTTATGCAGTTTGAAGCTGTGTCCGCGTAGATTGCTGCGCGACAGACGGTATAGATGCATGAGGTTGGTGCCCATCAAACCATGAAGTATCCTGAACGTAACTATAAGATCGCCACGAAGTCTTCGCTCAGAGAATGAGGTCAGGTTGAATAATTCAAGGCGATCTTCATAGCTTGGTCTTCGTGCTCCAAAAGGGATACGAGTAGCCCGACGCTGTACTGATTCGACGAGATTTCTATCGCGCAGAAGCACAGTGTCCCATACCGGGCCAGCGAATTCAAGAATTGGCCTCACGAATGCCTTGTAAATGTAGGCGCAAGTGTTGACATCGGATCTTTTGAAAGACCTCTCCAGCATGTATAGAAGTTTCTTGGCTTTTGATGTAACGTGGTGAATATGCTCTGACCAGGAAAGACGATCGTTGACTACAACGCCCAGATCAGTGTGGCTGGAAACTGCTTCGATGTTGTGGTCAGAGATCTTGTATGTAAATCACGGATTTGTCTTCCCGAGGTAGAAGGACACAACACTTAGTTAGATTTAAGGGTAAAAGCCAACTGACTGACCATTGACAAACAATATCAAGATCTCATTGAAGCATAGCAGAATTTACGACAGTATTGTAAATCTTGGTGTCGTCGGCATAAGCTGAACATGTGGAGGAAATCAATGCGGGCAGGTCACTTGTATACAGAAGGAACAGCACTGGCCCCAAGACAGAACCTTGAGGAACTCCACATGCTACATGATGAAGGTGAGACTGGCTATCACTGACGCGCCTCTTATTCCCATACATTCCAACTTAAACAGAAGCCTTCTATGTGGTACGCGATCGAAAGCCCTAGAAAAATCTAAGTAAATTATATCAACAGGAGTCTTTGTGTCCAGATACTGAGTCCAATCGTTGAGAGAGTGGAGAAGGTTGGTCATTATTGATCGACCAGGGTGAAATCCATGCTGATTCTTAGGGATAAGGTCATTTTCGAAAGCAAATGACAGGAGCTTATCTAATATGATTCTTTCAGCTATTTTGGCGGCGATAGGAATGAGACTTATTGGTCGATCATTTTTAGCGGAGGATTTGTCGCCCTTTTTGAATAGGGGTAACAGAAGCACTAAGCCAGCATGAGGGTAGGGTATGAGATCTAAAAGACGATGTGAATATCAAGCTTAATGGTAGGGCCAGTGCTGAAGCGCAATTTTTAAGTACAGCAGCCGTCATCCCATCTTTACCAGGGGAGGAAGAGGTCTTCAGATTTCGCAGGTGCATTAATACATCTTCAGGCAGGAACTCAATTTCGCAAAGGCTGTTGGGACACCTATGGCAGATAGTGGTCGATAGAAGGTCTCCATTAGGCTCATCGACGAAGTCATCACTAAAGGACTCTGCCAGTGAGTTGGCAGATTCGGTGGCATCCATGTGGAGATGACCGTCAGCGTCGCGGATCTGAGGTGATGAAACTTTAGAATTCAGGTTTGTTCTTAGATACCGAAACAGCTTCTTCTTATTTTTGGAGGTAACGAGTTTTCGTTCATAAGCATGTTTGGCATTATGTAACGTTCTAGATAGGAGGTTAGAAAAGGATCGATGAGACACGTAATCTTGTGAATGGCCACTCCTCCTAAACCGTTGCCACAAAGATCTCTTGTGACGAAGCATCCTCGATATGTTAGAGTTGATCCAGGGCTTTGAGGGGTCACAGTATACCTTCTTTTCAACAGTATTGTCAGCCGTTTCGCTTAGGACTCGTTGAGCGAAAGTGTCCCACATATCTTGGGTGCTACGGTTGTTAAGCAAATCAGGCCAGTTGACTTCAGACAGGGCTTGGTTAAGAGCATCGTGGTTTACAATTTTGATGGTTTTAAACTTATCGGTTGTAGAACGACTATTTATATTGAACTGGAGAGAAGATAAAAGTGAACAGTGGTCAGACTTGCCAAAAGGTGGCAAATAATCTAAATTAGAAACAAAGTCGCCGTCGTTAACGAATATCAAATCCAGAGCCCTAGGCGTCTGTCCTTCCCTGAATCTCGTTGGACGATCAACAAGTTGAGATATGCTAGAGTTGCGTAGCAAGTCGATGTAAGCAGCAGAAGAAGAATTGCATTCAGGAATGGTTGACATAGGCCAGCTAATGTCACGTAGATTGAAGTCACCAGCTATGAAAAGGTTGGTGTTTTTATTTAAGAGATCTGAAATGAGACTGCACAGGTGTGTGTCTCCCAAACAGGGCCGTGGCCGATATATGCAGCCTATCGTGAAGCTGAAATTTGGGCACCTCAATTCCAAAAATAGATTGTCAATGCCATCGAAAGGACTGAAAGAGGGAGATACCGAGAAAGCCGACGCGATTTCCGTGCGAACATAAATGCATACTCCACCAAAACCAGGAGTGCGTGGTGAATCCATTCTGTATAAATAGTATCCAGGCAAATTGATGGAAGAGTCGGACGCGTTGGAATGGAGCCATGTTTCAGTAAGGAAAACGAACGTTGGATTATTGTCTCGAACAAATGCTTGGAGTTCAAGTAGCTGAGAAAAGAGTGTGTATATTAGTGTAACAAACCGTCCAGTTTGCCACAGAATTTATCAGTTTTTTGAAGGTGTGATCTCCTGGGTAGCTGTGCGTACTATAGAAGGTTTACCGCGAAAGTATTTTATAGTAATATTACTTTCGCCTGTTGTTTGACGACGTCTAAGCTCTTCGCGAAGGTGTTGTAGTTCTTGCATTTGACCTCTGGTTTTGTCGTCAGAGATTTTTACGTGACGAAGCGTGGGGTGGCTAAGGATGGAGTTTTTCTTCCGCAAAATATTGCTGACGATAATACTGATAATAGGTGAGGAAAACACAACTCTAATTAAACGATTGCTTGAAGTTGTTCTGCCAAGGCGAGTGATGCTGAGTCGGTGATTTTCGGCAGATGGTTCAATATGCCTAATTATCTCTGATACTATGTTTATGTCATCGTTCCCTTCAGCTATGCCCCTCAGAATGATATTGTGGGAACGTCTAAATAACTCCATTGTCTCAGCTTGGGAGCTTGGGGCAATAGGGGTAGAAGAAGCGCCGTTGCCTGAGTGCATCGTCTCCATAGATCTTGCAAGTCTCGATTCAATATTAGCAATGTTAGAAGACAGCTCTGTTTGAGTAACCTGGATATTTTGTATGTACTTTGTATCCCGAATACTTGAGGGGTCGACTGTAATGGAGGTACGACATCTACCTGTGTATAGTGCAGACGTCGGTCAGCTATAAGCCATGTTCAATATGTTCATGTCATTTTCAATGTACCTATGGGTCAAGGATGAAATTAGCTTGACAAACCTTTGATACGAGACGATCGTCAGATTTGTCGCCTACTCGCGCACAACTATACATGATAAAATATACAAAGACAATTTGTCCAGAATTGCGTGAGAAGTCATCCTACGTGACGCCGTTTTACCATTTTCTGCTCCCCATCAGGATAATCAATTAAGTAAATTGACAAGAGA